GGACTGTCAAACTTGGATTGGGTGACCGGTCGCGACCGGATCGTCGGCGGCTGTATGTCGGAAGCACCAAGCTGCTTGCGCAGTCGGCGGATGAAGCTCATACCCGAGCTGTGACCGTGGTAGTCCCAGTGACCCTGGTCGTCCAGATCTAAATAGCCAGAATTGTCGACCATCGACTCGAGGAGCGACTCGTCCCCTCCATTCGCATCCGCTGTCGAGTCAGAGGTGCCCGTCATGACAACTGAACTTCGGCGCCGTTCGCTGGGGGTCGCGAGCGATGCCGCTGGTGGTGGTTGCTGGGATTGTTGTTTTTCTCGCTTGATGGCTGCCAGCATCTGCTCTGTGGCATGCACGTCGAATTGGGGATCGTCCAAGTTCAGATCGGGGAGCACAACGCGGAGCAAGGCCTCCGCCTTGTGTAAGCGATTTTCCAGGGCTTCGACATATTGAGGGGCGGGGTTGCGACGACGGTTAGAGGGTTGATCATAGGTGCATTCTGTGGAGCGGCTTCCGTGAGCATGGATGGAAGGGAACAAGCAGACAATCGGGGAAACCACTTACCATAACTGTAGACGGTGCAATGAGTGCACGGCTGCTTCCCATCGCACTTGATCTTCTTGCGACGACATTCATCGCAAGCGCGCGTCACACGACGCCTCTTCTGCATAGGGAGGGGGTCCTTCACAGGCTTGCCATCGCCCAGCGCATCATCCTTCATCATCAAATCATGGCCGGGGGAGGCATCGTGATCTTCGTGGGCATAGAAGAAAGAGTCGGAAGCGGCCGAGGGATCATCCTCGTTCGCGTTGTCGGCATGCGCCGGACTGGGAGCGGAGGCCATGAGGGGAGCGGAGAGCAGCAGGGAGATCTCAAGGCGGTCGGCGCAAAGGCATGCAAGGGGGTATGAGGAGGATGTGGAACTGATTGATGGGGTGATGCACGATAGTCGACAGGAGACTAATCCGATCAGCAAGGAGAAATAGCCCGCGTGGCGATCCGACCGTTATCGCAATCTCCACGAGGGTAGAAATGACGCTTCTCACAGGTTCATGGAAGGCACGGCGAGGAGTGAAGTTAGCTGGAAGGATTGATCGGGTGTACCAATCTTAAATCCAGGAAGAGTTGATTGAAGAGGGTGCGTTCGACTGAGGTCGCACTGGTCGGTCGTGGCTTTTCTTCGCTAGGTTTGAGTTGTTAATTGTTTTTGCCTCTTGTTATGCTTTTGGTGGCTTTCGAACGGGAGTTCCTTGGGATGACGAAGGAAATGTTCTGGAGACTGGAGTAAGCCCCGAATTAGTCAGAATTGCGTTGCAGGAACTTTCGTGAGTCAAGACGGTGATCCACAATCAGTCGCACGGAAATAGTAACCAGGACGGGCAAGAATAAAGAGGTCTATTGCGCAACACCAGGCCCGAACACAATCGCGAGGACCGGGGATGGCTGTTAAGGCTTTTCTCGTCCGCGTGTACAAAGTACGAGGGGAAGAGGGGGAGAAGGCGGAATGGGGGGGTCGATTAGTTTGGGGAGGGAAGCAGTTCAAAGGAGGAATTTGGCGTGACTAAGGGAAGGGGGGGATTTACAGAAAGGTTTCTCCAAATTGGAGAGAAGAAAAAAATAGAAGATCGAAGTAAAGTTAAACAAGCTTAAGCCAACAAGCCAGCAAGTGGAAAGGCGAGGAAAGGGCTCGAGTAAGTCGCAGTGATGAGCGAAGAAGAGCGATGATGGAAAAGGAATGAATGGATGGGGACGAAGACGGACAAGACGGGCAGATCCACCGATGCGAAGTGATGGTGTGGCCCAGACCCTGTCTCCGATTGGGGGGATTTCAACGGCACCAGGGCAAAGGAAAATAGATCCAAGTGCAAAAAAAAATACACAAGGGGATCAGCTCAAGAGAGAGATTGCGTGCGAGAAGAAGCACGGAAAGGGTCCAACAGTTTTCGGTTTAGAATAAGTCTGAGATGAATCATCTGAGAGAAAAGAAAAAAGTGTAAATGCAGAATTAACAAAAAAATCGCTCACAATAGGGCTGATCTGGATCCAACCGGCTGTGACAAGCGGCTGGAAGCGCAACTTGAGCCTTCTCCTTTACCTGTGACGATGCCGATGTGTCGGACGTCCGATACAAAATTTTCTTTTCCTACAAACTCCATTGGACTAGCTGAGGAAACGGCTTAGCAGTAGCAGCAGCAGTAGCTCGGCGTATTGGCCAAACCGGCCGATGACTGCCTCGGCTGCAGAAACAAGCATCAAACCCACGGTGATTTCGCTGATTCGATCATTCCCGATGGATACCCTGATCCATGGAACCTGCAGCAACATCGATGAGCAACAATAAGTTAAAAATTATCCCCGGTGGGGATCGCATCTTCGGTGATGGATTGGATGAACCCAAAGACCCTAACTGGCCTTAGTCCTTCCTTTGGCGTTTGAGTAGACCAATGCTGCGGTCCAGTCCTCCATCAAAGCTGACGGAATCCTGTTTTCCTGTGTGCGTTCCCCTGTATCCACTCGTGTCTACTCCCTAGCTGTACCGGCATTGTCATTGTGGCCTTGGTCTTCTGCTCGCTTTCCTATTCCTTTTGATCTCCTTGCGCACATGTGTTCCGTTGAAGCATTGTCGTACAACATCGGCTCTGCATTGTTCCCAACTTGGTTGCAGCTCCAGATAGTCATACTAGCATACTGCCATGCCTATAGCACGCAACGGTATCGCGCTGCGCCACTAAATCTCCGCCAAGATTAGATAGACACTTAAAAATATCTTCATGGCTAACTAGCGATTCGGGAGAGATAAAGGAGCCGTCGCATCCTCCCCCACACATATTCTCAAGCACTAGGAGCGGAGTTGAACAATGCCCTATCTTCTCGTTACGCTCTGTTGTTTGTTCGCCTGTCTAGGATCTTTCTTGTTTGGCTATGACTCCGGGGTAATATCCTCTGTTATCGACCAGGATTCCTTTAGATATCGCTTCCACAATCCTTCTGCTGCAGCGACAGGGGGTATTGTTGCGTCCTATAATGGTTCGGACACCCGCGCCGATCACAACTTCTTCGCATTTCATCTCCGGCTGACATTCTGCAGGCGGTGCTATTCTAGGCTCGGTTTTTGTCTCCTACCTCTCTGACCCTTGGGGGCGAAGGCCTGTTCTCTTCACCGGCGGCCTCCTCGCTAGCCTAGGGGCCGCGTTGCAGGCTGGCGCTGTCAACGTGGCCATGCTCATTGCCGGCCGTTTGATCGCTGGTCTTGCTATTGGGTTGATGTCCGCCATCATTCCAGTCTATTGTGTATGTATCGCTATAACGCATCTCTATGTAATCACTAGATTGCCGCGGGCTCTGACTGCTCTCCCAGAGTGAGCTATCTCCTCCCCGTATTCGTGGCTTCTTAGGTTCACTGCAGCAATGGATGATTGGACTCGGAGTTGTTGTAGCTGTGAGTGATTTATCTATCTACTATACCCCTGTCTGGCTAGTCCGCTAGTCAACTACTAGCTCGCCCTCAATCCCTGACTAATCGCCTCCAGCAATGGGTGGGATACGGCTGTTCGCTTCGTACAGGAGATTTCAGCTGGAGTTTCCCCTTGGCATTTCAAGCAGTCCCCGCCGTGATTCTTAGCTGTGGCGTCTGGTTTCTCCCTGAGTCCCCTCGTTGGCTCATAGAAAAGGGCAACCCAGATGCTGGTTGGGCGGTCTTGAACCGCCTCCATCTACCTCGGGGACAGCTGAATGCTCTACCAGTCGAATCGGAATTCGAGCGAATCTCCGCGGGTATTGCGGAGGCCCGGCATTCAGCCAACCACTCCTGGCGACAGCTTTTGTTCGCACAGCCTAATTGGCGCAAGCGTGTGCTGCTTGCCTGTGGCATGCAGGTTTTCACACAATGCTCGGGCACGAATGTGCTCCAGAATTATAACCCAGGATTATACCGATCCTTGGGCTTGTCGCAGTCCACATCGCTCATCCTGCAGGGCATCTGGGGTGCATTGGCTCAGTTTTGGAACACCGTATTCATACTCTTCATCGATCGGGTCGACCGTCGCAAGCTTCTCATTCCGTCGTTGCTGGGTATGGGCGCCACCATGTGCGTGGAGGCCATCTTGGGGCAGGTGTACAATAACTTTGAAAGCGTGGCGTCACCGAATCACAGTGCCGTTCGTGCTGCAATCGCTGTATTCTTCGTCTTCTCTTTCTTCTATACTAGTCTCGGGCTCATCTCTTGGATCTATCAATCCGAAATTTTCCCCACTGCTATTCGCGCCCGGGGCTCTTCTGTAGCCACCGCCACGAATTGGAGTCTGAATCTGGTTTTCGCTCAGTGTTCGCCAATCGCCCAGTCACGAATTCAGTTCAAATATTTCTACTGTTTTGCGGCCTTCAACTGGGTTGCGGCGGGTCTCGTCTGGACCTTCTATCCAGAGACCGCCGGCAAATCGCTCGAGGAAATTGACCGTCTCTTTACTGCAGAAACCTCGATGCCCGCTTATGATGCAGACAAGCCTCACGTTTCACTGCCAAATTCAAAAGCTAAGGATTCTCTGGTGGTATTTAGCACACAGGATACTACATAGTAGCAGTCATACTTCCAGACATTGAGCAGAACAGAATGTTGCTGCCACGTCCAAGGAACCACTTTATATGGTATATCGATGAGCTCATGACTAAATGTTACTAGAAATAACAGTATTAACAACGCCGGGCGGCCACTGGGCCAGAAACAGAACCCAGTAGACCGATAAATAAGACGATCGAAATTGAAACGCAAGGTACCTTGTATGCTGTCATGTCTCATCGTGGGTATATAGAACACAAAAAGATGGCCATAAGACATGAAATGTAACGTTACAATCGAACTAAATCGCGGTGTACACAAAGAAGTGGGGAAAAAATGAAAGAGATGGGGAAAGGAGACATCGAGACAGGTCAGAAAGCTGCAGCATAGTGTAAGGTTTCATACTCTCGAGCGAAAGAACAAAGTGCCGATACCCGTATCACGAAACTTACAGGCCTTGGAGGGCCGGCATAACGTAACTAGTGAGAGGCGCACTAAGAATTTCTTTCCGTAAGCTATCCTCCCAAATTGAGACCGAAGGTATCCCCGTATGCAACGTTAAGCAGGAGAAAAGGAAGTAGTTCACATTCATCCAGCTACCAAAGCTGAGCCGTTTGACCACTTTGAGCATCCGACCTGCAAACCATGGCCGATCGTAAGGCGTCTGAGCAGTAGGGGAGTATTGTGTGAATTCGGGTGAATCCCCAGGATGGCGCGTCGACTCAGGAAATTCGATCGAACCGTCCTCACATGCGAGCATTATTTGCAGTAATGCTTCTACTGGGCCGCTCATGTTCACTTCGCACTTCAAGACAGTCTGCTCCAAGTTTCTGAGAAAGGCCTCGCTATACAAAACAGAGTTCCGGTAATCCCACAAGCCAGCATTGAGCATAATTAACGCAACTAGTCGTGCAACAAACTGTTTGCGGTTACCCGATGCTGTAAAGCGCAGCCCGGGAGGTGCTGCGAGTATCTGATACAACAATGAATTTGATTGGAATGCCGTGTGACGCATCGGTGCGATGGTTGAGTTAGTGGCTGTTCGCTGGTGTATAGCAAGCTGCTCACAGCGTTTGAGGAAGCTGATGAACTCGCTGCACTGATGTTCAATCTCAGCGACTGGGGAGATTATGGGGTATCGGGTAATATTATGCTCAGTGAACGACATAGTGCACGTCACCTTTTTTGGAAGCGGCCGCTGACGCGATACTAGTGGTCCAGTTTGAATGGCTGGCCTCTGTAGTATGGCTGGAGGATTGTATTCGAAAAAGAAGCTAGGTCCCTCAGTCTCATAGCCTGAAAGAATATAATCTTGCCAATTTATTAGCATTCCGAGTCTTGTTTTGTGAAAGGCAGATGGCCCGCCACGGAGACGAATCATCTCTCTTGCTGCTCGCATATGAAGCCAGCTAGTCTGCTTATGACCAGGCCTGGGATCAAAGTCTTCAAGACCTGCAGCGCTTATACAACCTATAATCGCTTCATCAGAAATATCATTCGGGTTCCTGTCCCTGAGCTCTCGAAGCATGGTAATCGCACGGTCACGGTGATACAGAGCTGTCGCGTCCGGCTCCTCATTTCGAACCCAGACCCATGTATTAGCCGCATGAACAAGTATCGTGTTCTGAAAAGCCACAGGTCCTTTCATTCCTTCAGGGACAAATACTGCTGTGTACCAATTATGCGCCTTGGCTGACCGGAAGTGGTTTCCATATGAGCAAGCAGGCATTTCATTGACATAGAAGTCAAAGAGTCTTTGACCTTCAAGGTCCAGCTCAAGGGGCAGGGTGTTGAACGGATCTGTTCGTGCAGCACTCAGCATTGTCTTTGGTGACAACGCTACATCTCCTGGTGTCGTTGGCGCTGACGATGATGGCGTTGGAGTACTGGTGTCCGAGGTACTGCTTTGAGACAGGCAGTAGGCCTTGGGAGAATTCGATGAGGGATCCACAGTCTTGCTTCGGAAAGGCATGCCTGCATAGTATGGCCGAATGGTAGGCTTGGAAGTCGAGAAGACCCTGTGTTGTGTGGCATGATCTGCCACCGTTTCACTCGAGTCTTGTTGCGCTGAAGAATTACTGGATATTGGTTCAAGACTATTTCTCCGCGCAAGGATACCGGATTCATACAAGGCTTCACTATCTTGTGTGCGACCCGTTTGGTTATCGGTTGTATTCATGACCTGAATAATAGCCCTTTGTTGCTGTTCTGTCTTCTCTCCGTGCGACGGACTGTCTCCGATTTCAGCAGCAGACTGTCCGGTTGCATGCCGTTTTTGACGCATATATTCCTGCATAACATGGCGCTTTACTTTAGTCAGAGTACTCCTGCTGTTGTCAGATGCGTCAATAAACTGCCACTGTATTGGTGGTGGCTCTTCTGTGGACTTCTTCCCACTAGCACTGCTCGGCGCATCTGGCATGTTGAAGGTTGGGTGCAGGGTGTTCTCGTGCCGCGCAAGCGCCTTAGTCTTGGTATTCAGCCTTCAATAAGTGATTTGATAACTGGTGCCTCACTCAGCCGGCAGGAGCAATGTTGGCTTCTTGCTGTGTAGGCGCAATGGCGGGGTAGTCTGAATATCTGTTGAAGACTATCCAAACACCAGCAGTCTTTACTGTTCTTTGCCGGATAGTCGAATCACTATGCTTTCGACCCTGGAACGCCACCCCTGTAGAAAGTGCGATGTCGAAGCGCATGCACGAAGAGACACCGACTGAAGTTATTGCCGGCTGCCTTGGCAATGGTGCGATAAAGGAATCTAGCTGTATCCGGCAGTGTGTCTTCGGTTACATCAAAACAGCGGCCAACTTCAAACATCCAAGTCGAAGTTGAGACAAAACTGCAGACTGATAATATCAAAGCGCCTCCAGAATTAAAGTGGAACTAAAAATGAATGTCAGTGTCTGACAAACGACGCTTATGGCATCAACCTTATAGGGACAAAGGAGGGAGTAGATGGAGGCATACGCACATGCAGATCTAGTAGCGGCAATAGGTGTAGAGCATAAAGGTTAATTGTTATTAAGGCCATAAAGTTAATGAGGAACGTGAAGTCCTGGGAGCAGAGTGCTGTCAGAATCCCGGGATTGAAGTAGGCCTGCGCTGCTCCACGGTTTTGAATCACCTAACCATAAGCATTTTCGAGGCTGAAACCTTGAATCATGGATTCAAGTTCTCAAAGTAGCATGAAGGCCTGATCAGCACCAGATCGCTTGTTTCAGTGTCAACTAAGAGGCGCCAGTGCAGGGGGGGAAATGGGGGCCGCGTTGCAGGAAATCGGTAAATTCGAGGCCAGAGATAACAATAGCGTGGCTTTGGAACACAAAACCCTTGTTCTAGAGAGGGGGGACTGTAGCATTGATAACGGCAGGCAGATACGTTCGCGAACCACGAAGCGTAGAAGCTAGCGTGTCTAGTTTATCATTGAGTTGGAAGTTGGAAGTCCATTCCACACTCCTAAGCATTCAATCGGGCTTGCGGGTGGGCGGCTGCTAGCGCCGCTTATCCCGGTGATTTCCACGATATTCGGGAGTTCACAATAGACTGCTTGTCTGACGACGTCATTGCTCGATATCAATAACCTTTGCACTGAACCACTTCAAAGTCGATTGTGCGGCAAATTACACTGGCTGCGTGTTCAACACAAAGTAAGTCACACTGTGAGGGTGATTGATGAGATTGTAGGGGACATGATAATGCTTATAGAAAGCGTGGTCGAAAGGTTACTAAGTCTCATCCTGACTGCCGCAAAGCCTGGAACGCTGTGACACCTTGGTGTACTTAGGTTGACAAGTATACCAAAGAGGCTTAGAATTTTCGAATTATGGTTGTATATAAAGTTATAAGTATCTTATATCATCATATCACGATATATTCTTTATATACAGCACTATATGGTAATAACGATCAGTCAACGATTGCATTTTTTGTCTACAACTAATTACTACTATACTGCAACTGTACCACAACAGGTGTAACTGACACCCTTAGCCCTTTAGTACTATTAGATGAAGTATGTGAAAGATCAATTTAAGCCTCTACGTAAGTATCAGTTGGTACTACCACGAGGTGGATTTTGTATGAAATAGTAGTACTGGTCTAGAGGGGAGATAGTACTGCACTAGTAACACCACAACATCATGACATGAAGCCATGATATATATAACCGATAACTATCTGTTTGCCAATTACCACTATGGTTTAGAGCAAAACAAAATCTGTGCACTAGCCTTGCAGCTTCCCACCATGCTGTACAGAAGACGGAACTAGGGTCATCCAGTACTAACATACTTCCAAAGAGATCTTGATGTCCTGGCGACTGGACGGACAAAGGCCATACACCTATTTGAGACTTGACGGAGTTAAGGCTCACCGCCTTGGCCGTAAATCCGACGCAGAAGCTGCCAAATCCTCTCCGAAATCCATCTCCGCGTCGCCGAGCGCGCTTCCCCCAGCTTGAAGTTACGGAAAGCTTTTGTTCTATTGCGCTACTCAACTACTGAGAAAGAGACTCATCAAGCACGAGACTTATTTGTCAACACTGATTCTTGCACTGTGACGCGACGCCGCTGCTTACAGAAACACAGTTGGTAGTGCATCGCACTCCGTTTCGCATCTTTCTCCGACCTCCGCCGCAATTGCGACTTTTACGACCGAACGATAGTCAACAAAGAAGACTTCGCCGTCGGTCGTCTTAGCACTCCAGGCTCGTGAATGCTACCGTCTCAAAAAGATCATTAATATGAAATTGTATGCGATCGGAACAAATCTCATTTTCTAAGTTGCCAGTCTGCAGAGCCGCCTGTTTTCGGGATCTTGAAGGCCAGCATACCCCTAGGATTCCGTCCCCGAGCACGCGCACGCCGGCTATCCACAAAAGGGGTGCTCTGGGACCTTAAAGGTCGCTGGAATTGTTGGAGTGATGGCTGGGACTACGCAGGCGCCTGGCGATCCAAATCAGGTGGATAGTCGCGTTGCCAATCAAGGGTCGACAAACCCATACGAAACAAATCCCGATCTCCTCCCAAACGATGACCTATTCCTCGCCCGGAGTATACACTATGGCCGCTACGCGCCTCGCGACACTGACTTCAAGCCTCGATATAACCACTGGTGCGAACCGGATCCAGAGGTCACCTCATATTGGGAAGGGATTGTCAAAGAACTCTGTACAGCAGAAAATTCTCTGAATGTCTCGGGGAACCGGGAGGTCTTCGCTGCTGGCAGCGTTGTCATTCGCGTTGATCGTGAACCTTCAGTTGGCGCCGCTGCTGAGAAATACTCGTGTGCCAACGCCAATGAATTGAGTGCCGCAAGGAAGGCTGAGGATACGCTCAAGGAGATGTCTATCGCCGTGCCGGTCATTTACTTTTGCGGGACAATTGATGGGAAGAATGTCACTGTGGAATCTAGAATCCCTGGCGTTACTCTCGAGGTAGCCTGGCGATACCTCACAGCTGAGCAGATCGACATGTTCAAACAGCAGTGCCGTCGTGTATCGCAACATTTGGGCGGAATAGACGCATCCCCCGATCGCCCTTCCTACGTTTGCAGTGGACTCAACTCACAAGCGTCACCTGATGCCCTGGAACCAGAGAAGAATATACTTTTTCGTGAAAGGAAGGAGGACGAACATGTCTGTCTGGTACACAACAACCTGGTACCGTCGAACATTGTTATCGGCGATGATAAGGTGATCGGGATAACTGGTTGGCGACAGAGCGGGTACTTCGGCTTTGAAAGGGCAGATGAGATACATCGACGCTTTAGGATACTGGTGGCATCTGCCATACATGGAGACAAATCTACTGACCTGCGAGCGTGGTCTGACTTATATGAAGGACTTGATGCCGCAGGAGTGGTTAGACCCACAAGCAAGCAAGATACGCCCATTCCTCTAGTCAAGACTGAGCCTCTCAACACGAATCTGGATAAAGTCCCTCTCAATGAAGAGTCGGAATCCAAGCCACCGGTTTCTTCACTTGACGGCCCGGCTGCGGACCATCTCACTCCAAAGAACATTGCGAGTCTCAAGAATAGGGGGTCTTCTAGAGCGTCGTCTTCTGACCGCTCCTCGCCAGCTACGTCCACGAAACCTGGCCCGACCCGGAAATCTGCTACTGCTGCAACCAAGAAAGGGACTGGGCGAAAATCGACAACCAAAAAGAGGAAAGCAAACGAATTGGAAAGCGATAATGTTGATGGCGGTCGTTCCAACACTCCATCTTCGACTCGTGCTGGCAAGCCCGCGAACAAAAAGCGGAATTCTACCTCGCACACCAACTCACCGGCCCCGGATAGCAAAAGGAAAGGGAGCAAGAACGTTGAACAGGATGAGATAGAAGAAGAGGAAGAAGATGACTCTGATGATAACGATGAAATATTCTGCATCTGCCGCAAACCTGATAATCATACATGGATGATCGGGTGTGATGGTGGATGTGAGGATTGGTTTCACGGGAAGTGCGTCAACATCGACCCGAGAGACGCAGACCTCATTGACAAGTACATCTGTATGACATCCTTTTGATATGCCACGCATAATCTATACCCGTGCACTAACACTACGCAGGTCCGAATTGCAAAGAGCAAGGCAAAGGATGGACCACATGGAAACCTATGTGCCGGCTAAAGGAATGCCGCAAGCCCGCCCGAGTCAACCAGAAAATCCCTAGCAAATACTGCTCAGACGAACATGGCCGGGAGTTCATGCTTCAGCGAACTAAGCTTCTCCTGGGTACGGGAACGAGAGCAAAGACGACCGCAGCAGGCCGAGCAACCACCAATGGCATCAATTCGAGCGAAAGCAATAGTCGTGATGGGACCGCTACACCAGACAGACGAGATCCGGATGATTTAGGAAGTCGAGGTGGAGTCCTTACAACAGGCGATCTCAAAGCCGTCGTAATGGGCGTCAGCTCAGCTAAAGAATTCCGCAAACTAGGCGAAAGCATCATATCGATCCCAGCCAAAGAGGAAAGCACCACCATTACCACCACCGATCCCGAAACAGAGACCAAGAATGAAAAGAAGATTGGTTTGGATTTCGACGTGGACTGGCTCACGTACTCACCCGACGAAGCATCCAAACTACAGAAGCTCCGTAAGCAACGGGACGACCTACTCCATCGCAAAGAGATGCTCCGCGCCCGAAACACATTCATGACACTGGTGCGCCAGCGATCCAAGAGCATCCTGGAGCACCTAAAACAAACCGACCCGAAAGGCGGATGGAAAGATATCTGCGGTTTCGACAGCAGACTTGCATGGTCGGACGAAGAATTTGATGAATGGCGGTTATCCGAAATTGGCGCGAAAGCACTCGAGGATGGCTCGCCCGAAGCTCTGGCATCAAGCTATCCCGACGCTTCCACGGACGCCGATGGCGACACCGCCATGGATGACAACAACGAAGATGACTTCGAGAAACTCTCACGTGGTGTCTGTACTAAGAAGCGTTGCGAGAGACATAAACAATGGCTCAAGGTCCAACAGCAAGATGCTGTATTCGAGGAAAACACCCTCGCTCTGGATCTAAGCAAATGCGAGAAGGAAGCGAAGAATGTCGTGGAGAGGGCCGTTCTTAGGATGTGGGCCGAATCAGACAATGCGCAAATTGGTGGCCAGTAATACATACTGCAGAAGCTAACCAAGCGCAAAATGTCCTTCCCCACATCATTCCGTCTCTCATACCTCCTATACGCTTTCTATTTCCCTCATTATTTGTCGCGTTTGACAATTGACTTGATTCGGTTGATACCCCCATTCATCATCATTTATTTATCCGGAATAAAAGCAGGATTAGCAACTGGAGTTAGTCAGCGCGGAAAGGCGGTTTTGGTCTGAAAAAGGGGGAAAAGTTGGAACTGGTGCATAGTACTTGCATGATAGACGGGGTCAAGGATTTTTGTTTTTTGATATTTCCAGTGGAAGGAGATATTCAAGTGGAGTAAGCGGGGAATAAGGCTATTTACATAGGTCGCAATATCATACATCAGGGTATGCACACCCTGCAGCGCATAGCAACTACCAAATCTCATATAATGAGTTATGACCTCCCTCAGCCAACCACACAAAGCTCACCCTCCAGAACACACCACCTCCCAACATTCCCACCCACTCTATCCTTAATAACCTCCACAACCGGAACCCTTCCAATACTCGACACCAACAGATGCGTATCGATCCCCTGATCCAGCGTCTTCATCAAAAGACTCGGAAACATCTCACCACTATGCGCACGAAACACAGACTGAATCCCCTCGCCATCCACCTCATACATTCCCCCAATAGCGTTATCATCAATCGCCGTCACCCCACTCTGAGACGACGCCACCTTCCCCAATCCGCTAGTATTCACCAGCATCACAGAGAGATTCGATCCGTGCGTTCGAGTCATCTGCGTTAGTGTACGTAATATAGACATGAGCATTGCAGATCCCCGAAGGGGGTTCGAAGCACGTATTACGCCCTCGGCTAGGGTGTCCAGACCTGTGATTATGATGAGGCGCTGATCTGGTGTTTCTGTCAATGGTGTGGTTGATATGGTAGTTGCGATCTCGTGTATGGCTTGTGCGGCTGCGTTGAAGTCGTAGACAGGGAATAGTTGGACGGAGTCAAGGAGGGTGATTGCCTGAGTTCGGGATAGAGAGGGTTGATTGTTGAGGAGGGAGGCGAGGAGGCGTTGAGGAGTGAAGGCGCTGAAGTTGACGGGGTGGATTATGTAGACTTTTGTTTGGTTGGGGTGATGTTGATGTAGATAGGTTGTGAGGAGGTGGCGGGGGAGCTTGAGGTTGTTAGTTATCTTCTGTTGCTGGTTGGAGGTGTTGTTATATGGGGAATTGATGATTTTTCGTAAGGGGTATAGCGGGGGCGTGGATATGGGAGCAAGAGGTTTGGATGTATGACTTGACAGACTAAGGGCAAGGCACGGAAACCTGTTTATGGAGAAGGCAGACATACTGTTCCGATGTACTCGTCCTCATCACTTGTCTCATTGTGTGCGTCTCTAAGCCTGGAGAAGCCAATGACTATGCCGCTTTTGAAAACGCTGCCTGGACCATTGTGAAGTCCCTTTTGCACGTCATCTGAAAGATTCCAGCTTTGTTCCACAGGGTGTTGTTGACTTTGTTCGTGTTTGATCCCTGCTGATGAGCCAGACGGCAACATAGTATGAGCCAAAACAGGCGAGGCTGGCTCAGCACCTTCAATATAAGCGTTAATGGACATAATGCTCTTCAGTGGATCGGACTGGACGGTGGAAAAAACGCGTAGCTCTGCAACGCGTCTATTGAGTAGGATTCCTCTGAAATTGTGCTGAGGATATCTAAAAATCCAGTGAACTTGCGTCTTAGGCTTGACTCGGTTAAGTATGACAGTATGAAACAGGGTCGAGCATGTTCATTCTCATAAATGCAGCCTTATGGTGCAATGTATACAAGGTGTGGAGTAAGGCTGGGTTTCACGAACGAATTGTTGTGCGCGGTTATAAGAGCCCAGCTCGCCTCTCTTAGCCAGGATCCACCCAGTAGAACTACATGAATCGTCCCATATCTGGTCGGGACTTGGACTAGAGAAAGCTATTATGGTTACTCAAGCCTTGAAGCATTGTATAGTTATAGTGATACAAAACTTGGGCATCATCAAGCACCACTTTACATAGTTACAAATGTTAGTTAAAGAACTGACACGTGACAATGATGTCATAAGCCGGTCTCTGACATACACGGCGATCTTGCAGTGTAGGTGACTCTCTATATTGTTTTCTAAGCTAATATGCAAGCTCAGACAAATGGCAGTTTTGAATATAAGTATAGAATGGAATTATGTACAGGCGCATCACGAAATACTTACAATTTCTTCAAAGTGCGATTAATTCACAATATTTCCAGGCGTGGGCCCATCACCGTTGAATATCAGAGAGCGTTACCTATCGGCGTCGTAGGAGAACCCAGCCGATCATTATCGCCATTCGATGATACTTTTGTCCAAGTTCCTCTCCCATCATGTACCCATCCGCTGCTGTCCAACACATCCCCTAGGATAGTGGATAGTTCTGAACGCAGAGCATCAAACTCGTAATCCGGGGTATGGAAGTTCACGAGACAAGCTAAAGCTCCCATCTTCCTGACAGTGTGGGCAATAAGTGAATACCCGGTAGCAATCTCCATCCATGGGTCACTGGGATCCATGGAGCCTCTCTGTTCCATCTCCGTAATCTTATCATTTGGAGAAGGGGCAAGTTGGATGCTCAATGACCGCAGGTTTGTCATCAACTCAACGGCATCCAAGACTAATTTGACATGGTTATAGAACGGGAACACTGCCGTATATTTGAACGACGTAAATGATTTCAATAAGCGGGAAAGATCCAGTCTCTCCGAGAACAGCTGTGTGGATGCCACAGTTCCCCACTTATTGAACAGGGAAGGAACCTGGAACATGAAATACTCGTAGTGATTGTACGCCCTGAGCGACGAAGACTCGTTGAAGGCAAAGGAAGACCATACCCGAGTCTCAAGCAGACTGGCTGGATGCTTTGTCTCTGATAGTAGAGAAGGCTCGCAGACCCGCGAATTCTGTTCCAACTGTAGAACCTGGAAAGGAACCTCGAATGCCCAGCTGTGTCCGTCCATGATCCGTGTGTCAAGCATGGCGGCTAGAAATTGGGGAGGTGCAATCACGATGATCCGTAGCGGATCGAGACTATCGAGCACTGGGCGCCACCAATAGGGATCCTCTCGATGATCGGGTGAGTCCATGCCCTTGGCCACAATCGATATTACATATCGACCAAGTTCTAAACTCGTTATGAAGGAAACAAAGTCCGCTACATCTTTGATATCGAAGCATGCGTGAGCGAAGAGGTGGGGTCGCACCAGCTCCAGGACTCGGGAGGAGGTACGTGCAAGATTCTTCAGATCCCTAGTTCTAGATGTAGTAATACGCATACAAGGAGGCTTGTGCACCCTGGCCAGAGAAGGAGGGGAAGCCGAGAGTTCTGTGATGATCTGATCCAGAAGCTCATTCGGAAGGCTTTCCAAGGGCGATTGTTGCAAAGACATTGTTTCACTTATCTGATATAGAGTGCCTGTCCGAATGCCTCACATTTCGGAGACTATGAGCTTCAAAACAAGTATGAAAAGCCAATGAATTGGACATTAATGCCAGCCCACAGCGATGTACTTCCCAGAAAGGAGTCATGGTGTGGTGAGCTTCGGGAAGGGTTATGGCTGTCAATTGCCGGGGGTCCCCACATAAGTTCACGTGATAGTGACCATGGCGAAGATGGCTCCATAAGCAGGAAAACCGTGACAGAATGCTTTGACAGACCAAATTGTTTTTTTGCAAAATAGCAAGATTACTCTGATCTGTGGTCGCACTTTACACGCGCCAAATTTAATGTCTCTCACTGAATTCAGGTCAGACTCAAGACGACATACTCCGTGTAGCCTTGGAAATCATGCCAACTTTATAGGAACGCCTTCGCTGTATGAATGTGGAGCTGCATTAGTCTCTCCCCGCAACTCCTGCACTGGCTTGTTCTGACACTCGACAACATAGCAGCCACCTGGAAAAAGTGTGCTATTCACGACGCGATAGTATAATTTTAGTGGGGAGATAGGGAATGGTTTCAGTCAATACTAGAATTATCATTCTTGCTTCATGCATCTGCAGCCAGCCCAGAACAGAAAGAACCCCAGATAAAATTGATTGCTGAGTCAGTACTTATACATTGGCCCCACCGGAGGCTTCCCTGCCGATCTTCTTTCCGCCTTCCTGGATTTAGTTATGGCTCATCCTTACATCGAAAGCTGTCCCAGATGGCAGAAGTCATTGAAGTCATTGTGATTTCTCGTTGTATTTTTGTCTTTGAGTGAAGGTAGCATTATAAAGTAGTACTCAAGGGGTGCGCAAAATCGCAAGAGTTTGCTTGATGATTTATCTTTCTGTCTGTTGTCTGGGCCTGCGAAATCGGTCCCAGAATTTGGGGTCACTGTCCAGAGCGGTGGGGCAAGGACAGACCGGAGAAGAACATGGGCAAGACTCGGAGAACTCGCTTGCTGAGAAATGAGGGGGTCTCTTGCCCCCCATTTCTTTCTTTTTCTTGACTCGAGTCGGCTGTTGTCTTCTTCTCTCTATTCTGCCTCCAGACCAGGTATGTTTCTTTCCGTGAATCCATGAAAAGTTGGCTGCCACTTGATTCTCTAACTGTTTTCTGGACAGAACACTCCCGCATATCTAGTCATCATGGCCCCTCAACTGCACCGTAACCCTCCTTTCCGTGCTGAGCACCTCGGCTCTCTCCTCCGGACGGAGGAGCTTCTCAAGACCAAGACTGCCTTCGAGAAGGGCGAGGTCTCTGAGGCTCAGCTCGACGCTATCGAGAACAAGGATGTGAAGGAGGTCGCTGAAACCCAGAAGAAGTTGGGCTATGCCGCCATCTCCGACGGAGAGTACCGCCGTCACAGTAAGCTAGGCCCTCATCCGTCGCGCATAATCATAGGAACTCAATGCTGATAATGTTGACCGCGACAGTGTTCTGGGGTTCTTTCTTCCCTGGACTTGAGGGATTTGAGGAGGTCCGTGATGTCGATGCCGATGTCTTCCGCCCCTACGCCCCCGATGTTGCGGCGTTCCTCGAGGCTGGTCACAAGCCTGGTGAGACCGTCATCTGCACCGGCAAGATCAAGCACGTCGGCAGCACTTACACCAAGGAGTTCAAGTATCTGGCTAGCGTTGTCCCTCCTGAGGAGGTCAAGAACCTCAAGATCACCCTCGCTGCTCCTAACTGGTACCATTTGCGGTACAAGGAGGGCAAGGCTTACCCCAAGGATGTGTACAGCTCCGACGAGGAGTACTTCGGTGATATCGCCAAGGCAGTTCAGGCTGAGCTGCAGGAGCTGTATGATGTTGGCTGCAGAAACGTCCAGTTCGACGACCCTAACCTTGCTTGTGAGTTTATCCTGCTTGTATATCTGTCCATGAGGATAACATGTTCTAATTGTATCTGCAGACTTCTGCTCTGAGAAGATGCTTGCTGGCTGGAAGGAGGACTCTCTGAACGTTCGCTCCGCCGATGAGACCTTCGAGCAGTACATCAAGCTGTACAACGACAGCATTTCCAAGCGCCCTGCCGATATGCACATCGGTGTGCACCTTTGCCGTGGTAACTTTGTTGGCAGCCGTCACTTCTCGGAGGGTGGCTATGACCGCATTGCCACCAAGCTCTTCAAGGAACTTAACGTCGACACTTACTACCTCGAGTATGACACCCCTCGTGCTGGTGGCTTCGAGCCCCTGAAGGAGCTTCCCACCCACAAGAACGTCATCCTGGGAGTTGTGACCAGCAAGTTCGCTGCCCTCGAGGATAAGGAGGAGATGAAGAAGCGTGTCTATGACGCTGCCAAGTTCATTGCTGAGGGCAACAACATCTCTCTCGAGCAAGCCCTCAACCAGGTCGGTGTCAGCCCCCAGTGTGGCTTTGCCAGTCACCGTGAGGGTAACGCCATTGACCGCGATGGCATGATCGCCAAGCTGAAGCTTGTGCGTGAGATTGCCAACGATATCTGGCCCGGCCAGCTGTAAATATACCCGTCGTGAATGGCCGCGACATTAAACTCCTGTCGATTCAACAACGAAAGGGAGTATGAATGAATGTGACGACTTTAGCGTTTAGGATACCAGTTATTTAACATATGGATCAGATGTATAGTTTTAGAAAAATTAACGATTTTTTTCACCCTTTCTCAAATCCCATAAACCTAGACACATGTGTCATTATGTAGTTCGACGAAATGAGTACCTTGGAGTCACTGCAAGCCCATTGTCCCACCCGGGAAGCTAATGAAGGCAGATCACTTTGTCAACCATTGAGTCTCATCTTGCTGTTTCCCCTTATGCATGATTAAAGAAACCCACAAATAATCGAAAACTACCAAAACTGATCAACAGGCCTCTTCATGACCCCATTCACTCCGCCGGACCAAGAATACTACTCTCCTTGATTGCCGCTCGCTTATGCGTATGAGCATTCTCGATCTACCACCCCAGACCAATGATCAGCTTTACTGTTTATTTTACCACACTTATCGTATCGAAAGTATGTACGCACCTCATACCGCGGCATCTCATCCGACGCTTCGATCTTCCGTCCGGTCATAGTACCAGAGTGCGTGCGGACGTCCCGGATGATGCCGATTGCTTCGGCGGTCTTGGAATCAGGTCCTGTGCATTGGATACGCCCTCATTAGTTCTCTCTTGTTCCTCTCTCTAAACTTATTTCATGGGACCATGAGCAGTGGAGAGTATATATGCGGTAGAAATGGAACTGGAACCGGGACCGGGACCAACTCACCACCAATAGGCTTATAGCGAACCGTATCACCTGTTGCGTAGTCGGGCATTCTTAAGGATTCTTAATAGCTTTGTAGTCTTGTTGTGTGTGTGTATAGTGCGAATAACCTGCAAGTATGCATCTATCCAGAAGACTACTACATGGTGCCGTGCACTTTAAGTACACCCATCAAGTTAACTTTCTCCCGGTGCCACTGGTGTCAGATTGATGCTATCTGACGAAGAACGTCGCATTACCATGGATGGGCGGGTGCTCGGAGCTTATTGATTAATTAGTCCGTGTACTTCCAACTATCCTTTCATTTATGCAAGATTGGGTTGCTTATATATCCGATGGCCGGGAGGAGGTGACTGGTGGGACGAGCATTCCGTTCCATGTGTCTGTCGTAGGATTTTCCGAGGCTTAGGACTGTGATTACGAGGTGGGTTTAAACGAGTCAATGACGTGGTGGAATATATGAGTTTTCTTGTGGCTTCTTTGTTTGTTTGTTTTGGTTGGGTTGGGTTCCTTTTTTTTTTTTTTTTATCGTTTATTCATAAGTGTGAATTTTTGGGTTTGGTAGTATCTAAAGTGATTATCAACAACCGAGCCGGCAAAAATAACTGGGATATAAATAAATGCGAGGAAAAGGAAACATTAAAGGAAGTATATGTATGCAGGTATGTGCTGGTCCAAGTTCCTTCTATTTTGAATGTTTCTACACACGAGAAGGGGGGCGAAGAAAAGCAGACAACAGAGAAAGGAAAATAGGAAAATAGTATTAAGAGACGGTATTCGAAATGACCCGCATCGAAACAGTGGGGATATCATGAAATAAAGAAGAAAGGAAAAGCGGAACGGCGTGCGCGTGAAAGGAATATTGCAAACACAGGATCCAAATGCTGCGTCTTCTGTCATCAAATCGAACGTGAAACGAGAGGTGTTCTGATGGTTCAGTTGGTACAAAGGAAACTGTTGTACACGAGAGGCCGTGCCCAAGGCCTCCAACTTTTGCGGCTCAGGTGTCGGCCGGCGGCTGTTTTATTTCTGGGGTTGCGTCTTCACGTTGTTGGAGAGCCATGCCTGCGACAATCGATCGTTAGATGGCAAAGCAATAATGAGGGGGCGTGTAACTTACCAGGCCCTCGAAGATACCAGTTCCCTCCGTTGCGACACTTGGAGCAACGTACCACAGCTTATCCTTCAACTTGGTGAGCTGTAGCGCTTGAGTAACTTCCTCGGGACTCATGTCTGCAAGAAAAATCCTGGTCAGTCGCGACGTCGATATCTATAACCTAAAGGTGGAAACTTACGGCCTTGAACATCCTGCTTATTGGCAAAGACCAGCAAGAGAGCATCCTTCATTTCGCGATCGTTGATAATCTTGTGAAGCTCGGAGCGAGCCTCCTCCAAACGAGCAGTGTCGCTGGAGTCCACAACGAAGATCAAACCTTGTGTACCTGAAGATTTCACCCAATGTCAGCCACTTGCCCCACGATTCGTTGAAAATACGCGATAAGGGGAAAAGTACCAGAATAGTAGTGTCTCCAGAGGGGTCTGATCTTGTCCTGTCCACCAACATCCCAGACATTGAACTTCACATTCTTATAGGTGACGCTTTCAACGTTGAAACCGACGGTAGGGATAGTGGTGACGTCCTGATTGGTGAGCTTCAATTTGTAGAGGATTGCTAACGCAACATGTTAGTTTTTACATTGCCATAGTCGATGGGTGGACGGAGATCGAGGATCAAACTTACTGGTCTTTCCAGCAGCATCCAAACCCAGCATCAAAATCCGCATCTCCTTCGTACCAAAAATCTTCCCCATAATCTTGGAAACCTGACCACCCATTGTGACTAGCGGAGGCGTCTCCTGAAGACCGCCGACTGTTGATAGGATTAATGAGCGACTGAGCCTGCGGTGATTCAACGAGCGCTAGAGAGCGTCTCCGATGCAATGCAATTGCAGTAGGAATTCGGAATTCTAGATGGTGGACCGATCGGTCGAGTAGGGGGGCCGTGGGAGGAAGAGGACAGCGAAAACTAAACGTAAGGTCAATTACCCCGTGCTAGCGGTCCGCGTCAACAGGGCGACGTCTCCATAATGGACCATGCGTTCGCAGACGCAAGGTAAACAAGACATATGGAACTCACCTTATGTAAAGAAGGGGCGATAGCGACGCACGTTGAAGCAGAGAACAGAGAGTGACGGTCCAACAGGGTCGAAAGTCAAATTGGACAACGATTGATTCAGCAGCAGCAATAAGAATTTCAGGGTTCACGATCCACACGAGGAGCGCCTCTCTCTCTCGCTCTCTCGCTCGTCTGCTCGAGCGCTCCGTAAAAGGGGCTGCCCATGACTAAGCGCCCCGCGCCAAGGATTCGGTGGTTTCAGCATTTGCAGCGTTATCCTCAGGCACACACAACCACCTGCCCGTAGCAGACTAGAAGACTAGCAGTCCAGATGGTACTCCACTCGGACCCAGTCATTCCCGATCAAGAGGGTCGGAAATACTGGCACTGTAGTTCTAGATGGCCTAACAATCGAATTATCATTGTCAGTAGAAGCAAGTAGCCCTCCTTGGCGACGGACTTTCTTTATCATTAGCGTGGCCTGTGCCATGAATCTAGCCTTGATCTTACAACCAAGCATAAGTACGTTCTGCAGACTTAGCGCGCTGGCTATCCTGTGTAGTACCTATCGGAAGTCCCCGCTCCCGACGATCAACACCAGGCATATCAAGTGGTGATGGTTATGCCTCGTGGTACCTTGATTTGACTTGAGAGAAGGGAACCTACAAGCCACCAAGCATCTCCCGATCCACCTACAGTCCTTCATGGCCAATTACTCTTCATCGATACTGGTCAGAAAGGCGGATTCTCACTGCCGCCGGAGTAAATCGTATGCTGTTTGCAATACGTCATGGCAGGGTGGTAGCACACTCCATGGACTAGTGAAGTCATCCCACCACCACCCATGGTCTTACAAACCCCGGACCGGCGACCGACCCTGACGTCCCTTCATCGAGATTTATAGAAACAACCGTTCCTTTTCAAATTCCGAGCAGCAGTCTGATCAGCATTATCGAATCTCCTGGACATTGTACTCTATCCATAGTTCTCGAATAACCCTGCCAACATGACCACTGACGGTATACAACCGTTTCAGCGCCGCTCTTCCTTCCATCAACTGCAGCTCTCGCACCAATTCGACAAGAACTCCTGGGAGGCACCTCCATCGAAGGTAAACTTCTCTTCCTCCTGAATATCGCATGTCATCTCTAACCGATGCCGTTCCATTAGACTATCTATGCTGGTCTCTCAGTGCTGTTCGATGACGATGGAGTCACTGTAGCCCTCGCAATTCGCGATACTACCTATCTTCTCGACTTCCACCAGAAGGACATTGTTCCACAGGGTGGCCGGACCGTCTGTGCTGAAATCACCGACTATGTGTTGAACCAGTTGCGGGAGTATAGTGATGAACGCCTGGAGAAGTTTATCGGGCTGGCAATGCCAACTTCAGTGGTTCGGAGATGCTCCACGCTATGCTCACGTCTTTGGTCGGAGCTGGATGTGATCCCTTTGGTCCTTCCCGAGGAGAGTAATATTGGGGTTGATCACTACGTTGATCACCCCGTCCGGAAGTCCACTGGCTGGGAGCTCAAAAGCATCGATGAACAGGCAGAGTCCATGGGACGCAAGTGTGTCAGGTATGTCTTGTACGATTTCAAGCGGTGTGCATACGCTTACAGCACTTAAGGTTGTTTGGCCCTGAAAATATTCCTTTGTTGCAAGTCGGCTTTTTGGGATTAGTTGAAGTTGATACTGCCTTCCATGTGCGCCTTACAAACCTGGAGGACTTCCAGAAGACTGTCACACAGAGGACGTGGGATGCAGTCAATTACTATGCCGACGACCTCAAGAACAGAGGCACAAAGATTGCTTTCTTCAGTGCCACTCCTCAGGGCGGAGGAGTAGCCCTCATGAGACACGCCCTTGCAAGATTTTCCTACTCGTTGGGAACTGACATCAAGTGGTAAGTCTTCTATCCACATAGCATTAGGTATCGAGTATCTGACTGATCTTTCAAACTAGGTATGTTCCCAAGCCGCGGCCTGGAGTTTTTCGCATAACCAAAAACAACCATAATATTTTGCAAGGAGTTGCCGCCCCAGATGAGCGCTTGAGCAATGAGGACTGGGATAAGGTGATTGATTGGATCAATGAGAATGCGAAGCGATACTGGCTCTCCCCTGGCGGTCCCCTGCGGCCTCCTGAGGAGGGAGGCGCCGACGTTATTATCATTGACGATCCGCAAATGCCCGCATTGATCCCCATTGCAAAAAAGCTAGCACCTAACCGACCGGTCATTTTCCGAAACCATATTCAAATCCGCAGTGATCTGATAGATCAACCTGGCTCCCCACAGGCAGACACCTGGTCGTGGATCTGGAAACAGGTGCAGCAGGCAGATTTGTTTATCAGTCACCCAGTGAGCATATTTGTGCCGAAAGATGTTCCAAACGAGATGGTGGGCTATATGCCTGCTTCAACTGATTGGTCAGTCTCAAAAGATACGTGCATGATAAAACTAGCTGACATTCCGAATTAGGTTGGATGGTCTGAATAAGAACATGCGTGAAGAAGATGTCGCCTATTACGGCCGTGTCTTCAACTCTGTTTGCAGAAACTCAGGGATGATGACTATAAACTACCCACATGGTAAGGACAACTCTAAAGTCATACATGCCGACTTGTGTTATTACAAGGATGCTAACCAATTGACAGACGAGTACATTGTGCAGATCGCCCGATTTGACCCTTCCAAGGGTATCTTCGACGTTGTAGATTCGTATGAGAAGTTCTATAGACGGTTCACCTCGTCCCTACCCGACAGATCACCGCCCAAACTGCTTATTTGTGGACACGGCTCCGTTGATGATCCAGACGGCACCGTGATCTACGATTCCGTGCTAGCTCACATCGAGAAGGACCTCCCAGATCTATCCGACAAGATTTGCGTTGTCCGACTAGGGCCCTCAGATCAGGTGCTTAATGCACTCATGTCAAAGGCCAAGGTCGCTCTGCAGCTGTCCACTCGCGAAGGGTTCGAAGTCAAGGTATCCGAGGCAATCCACAAGGGTACCCCGGTGATTGCAACCAAGGCTGGCGGAATCCCACTGCAAGTAGCAGATAAGAAGAATGGTTTCCTCGTGGAAGTCGGCGACACGGATGCGGTTGCACAACACCTGTTCGATTTGTGCACTGACGACGATCTTTATGAGCGGACTAAGAAGTTTGCACTTGAACATGTCTGCGACGAGGTCAGCACAGTTGGAAACGCCCTGAACTGGCTGTACCTGTCATCCAAGCTCTCCAAGAAGGAAGAAGTCAAGCCACACAAGCAGTGGATCAACGACATGGCGCGCAGCGAAGCTGGCCTAGAATACACCACCAAAGAGAGCCGGCTTAGACGGATCTCACTGTAAACCTCGCCAACCACCAATGAGCCACGGAGTAAGATCGTCATGCTTCACCATGACCTATGTATCTAGAATGTTTTCGATATATGTTGCGCACACAGAATACATAAATGAAAGAAATAAACTAGACCAGGGGGTATAGTACTAAACAGCCACACACATGTAAAGAGAACAATCATAACCATCATCAACAATTATCCAAAATCCAGCAATCACCTCCCAACCAACCTATACCTCTCCCTCGCCAATCCTCCCTCGGCCCCCTCAACCCCATACCCCTCCCCAACCTCACCCACAATCCTCGCCGGCGCGCCTCCAACCACACACCAACTCGGCACCACCATTCCCCCCGGCACCACCGCCCCATCCAACACATACACGAAATCCTTCAAGATCGCCATACTCCCCACCACCGCATCCTTCCCAATATGCACATGATTCCCCACCGTCGCGGCCTCCACTACCGCCCGCTCGCCCACAAACACATGATCCCCGATCTTGAGCGGATAGAACGAGTACACGCCGCGGTGTAGTCGCGAAGGTGGGCGTAGGATCGCTTGTCGCGAGATGTAGCTGTATCGTCCTACTGTGATGGCCACGGAGGGACTGTTTGGTGCGCCGCCGGCGGCGGCTTGTTGCGGGTCGGAGGCGGAGGACGATGAGGATGAGGAGCGGTAGAGGTCGCCTCGGATGACGGCGTCCGCTTGGATTACTGTCTTGCCGCCGAGAATGATGTGTTGGGTTCCGTGGATTAGAGATCGGCGGGAGATTTTGTTGCCTGTGTCCTGGGGTTGGGTTAGTATGGGGGGTTTGTTTGTTGTTATTTGGGGGGGAGGGGATGGGATGTGATGGGGCGTACTGTTTCGATGTATTCGCCCTTGGGCGCTTTGGGGGGCATTTTTGTGTGCTAGGTCGATTTAGGAACTCGTAAATTGAGAGGAATTGAGTTGATGTTGAGAAGAGATGATGCGATTATCGCATTGCTTGGAGATGGTCTGGGATGCGGTGAGTGGAAATCGTCGGCAGTTGGGTGGTGGGCGGTGACTTTGATCTTGACCCACTGTACCTTTTTTTCCTATGTAGGTCAATGATATTTTTGTAGAAGTGCTATGCCAAAATTACATGGGGTATTGGGATGCATAATCTTGAATTTGTTGATCTTAATCTTATTATGTCACATAAAATGAAACATTTTTGAAATGAAGTAATTTGTTTATTTAGATCATGGTCCACAGTGTTCCTGATATGGAAATTCATTAAACCCACGACATGGCCGCCCATAATTACTGAATTGCGACAAAACGTAAGAAGATCATAAAAATGGATATATCGTGGCGTGCTAGCTGCTTATGGTAAATCCTCTGATATGGAGACTGGAGCGAATGGTCAGAAAGGGTTAATATTACGAGGCGCATTGTTGCATCTCAAGTGGGGAAGCGATGGTACTGGGTTCAGTAAATCTAATGTGTGAACAGTATATCGAGAATTATCAATCCCACTGGGACTCAGATCGAGATCATACAACATCCAGTCACAGCATAGTGACTCCATATAGCATATCTATACAATAACCCGTCTCATTTACTCCAACCATATCCCAAGCCCATATACCCCCGACACACTATTATCGCCACCAGAAACATACATACCACCTTCCACACAAACCCATCACAATTCTCAGTCCCTTAACCCCCCTCAAACCTCCGGCCAAAACATCCCCTCCAACCAAACAACCTGCCTCCACCACCGCTCGCACCTCCCCAGCAATTCCTCCCTCTCACTATCCGCAACACCCAAAGAAACCTCATCCACCAACTCCGCAATCTCATCCACAAAGCGTCCAAACTCCTCACTCGTCCAGTTAGGAATAAACTGCACTCTCAGCGCACCACCATCCGCATCATCTCTTCCTTCCCCACCCTTACTATTATTCTCCATAACCTCCCTGGCATACCCCCAAGCCTTATAATAACACACCTCCGTAGCCCACAACACCACCAACCCCTCCAACAACGTCACGCCGCTCGAGCCCGAGGAAAGGAACAAATCTGTGTATGCGTGCGTCGCTTCGCTAGGACCGAAGGTTGTCGCGCCCGGTGGGGGCACCTGCAGATCGAGGTTGTATTCGGCGGCGACGGTCTCGAAGAAGGTGAGTTCGCGCTGGATGTTGAGGAGGGCGGAGGTGAGGAGGGTGAGGATGCGGGATTCGAGGGGGGCAGGGCTGTTGGCGGTGGTGGTATAAGGAAGACGGATTTTTGAGAGGAGGAGGCCGATGAAGCGGACGTAGGACTGCGCGTAGAGACGGTCTTGCGAGAGCCAGGCTGAGAGGGTGGCTTTGGGGAGGGTGGAGGTGCCGGCGGAGTGGAGGAAGGGGTGGGTGGTTGAGGTGTGGAGGGCGGAGGGGTTGAGGTTAAGGAGGTGGGTTGTTAGAGAGGTCATTTTAGTTGCGATTGTGAGGCGGTGGGTAGTGGAAGTGAAAATTGTAGGAGAATTGTTGTTTGTTTTATGGAGGGGGTTGAGGAAAGATGGTGGTGATGTTGATGTGGGTGGGGTAAGTATGGGGCTTGTGGAGGGGGTGGATCGGCGATAGTGATTAGATTAGGCCTAGGGTTGGTTCTGCAGGAAGTGTCAGGAACAGCATGTGACATTTGGCACAGAAGCTTAAGCGTCTTACATCTCGTTCTGCGGGAGTTCCAAGTATGTTTGCTATGTCCATACAATTTCTGAAAGCGCTATACTGTCCCTGATGATCTCTAGGGATTGCTAAGGATGGTTAGAAAGTACGAGCTACTATCATTCACCATATCATATTCGGCATCTCCGATGAACTCACTGAAACTAGGAGACACAAATTTGCATTATTTAGATGTAGATGCTTTAGTTTACAATATTCGTAGCTGGACGTTCGCCGTATTCTCCCCATAACCCCATTGAACGGCAGTGAGAGCATACGGATGTATCGTGAAGGTTGATATCCGGTAAAATTCAAATTAAAAAGGAACTTCTGAAGAGGATGATAGGCTAACAATGCATGTATGAGCCCTACGCTGAGTCTTCCTCACTCGCTCCCATAAAGCTGGCGACGAGAACCTCCATAGTGTACCGCGCATCATTCCCGGCATTGTGCAAGTACCAGCCCTTAATGTCCAGTTTCGCCAGCACGCCTCCCAGCGACCGTACCGACTCTTCCTTCCGCAGCTTGCGAAACATCTGCGCTGTGTCGATCTGGTCACGAAACCCTCCCACATCCACCCCAACTTGCTTGAGATACTTGACATCTGCTGAAAGATTGTGGCCGACCAATACGAGGCGACGGTCCAGTGCATCGCCCAAGCGCAGGCTTGATCGCACTACGTCCACCAAGTCTCGTTGCAGCACCCATTCGCTCTCTCCGAACTGAAACATGCCAGGACAGCCCGACACGAACTCATGGTTCACGATATGGCCGTATTCTCTCACTCGTAGATGCCGGGACTGGATACGGCTCCGCCACTGATCGCCGTTCACGCCCGGCGGAACCCCCACCAGACTCCGCATGTCCAACACTGACACTCCGACCTCAGTCACCTGGCTATGGCAGCGCTCATTCGACTCTACGTCGATACTGATAAACACGGGCTCTCTCCAGAAAGGATACGGTACTGCCTTGGTGGCATCTAGCGGCTGCACTGTGGGCACTGTGCCCGGGGTATCCCAGTCACCCATGTCTGCTGTCCCTTCAATGTCATCCATCGAACGCAAACCAAAGTAGCACTGCATCCGTCGAACCATCTGCTGCATATCAAGCTCTTTCATCGCACGCATCAACAGTTTCTGCTTGGAAGATTTCTTTTTGTTCCTGGTGGCCTCGATAGCGGCTTCCACCATGGTCTCGAAAGCAGCGTATTCCTCGTCCATGTCTCCAGAAGAACTGTTGTGCTCCGATGATGGTGAAGGAATTTGCAACTCGAGCTGGTCCTTGGTCTCACGTGTGGTACTGCGGCCGAGGTAGACAGGCTGAGGATACCCATCTTTGAAAGACAAGACAAGCCCGGCGGACATATCTGCTGGCAACGACAATTCACACTTCAGAGCACGATTTATCTCTTCCAAGAAGGAACTGACTCCATCGGTGGGAGTAAGGAGTACAGGCTTAGATCCGAGAGAAGCTGGTGCGTGGACAAAATAACTGGCACTTATCAGATTTACTTGTGCAAAGCTGTGAATAGAGCAACTTACACATCCCACGAGCGGTTCCAGAATTTACCTGCGTCGAAGAAGCGGCTGGAAACCTCTTGGCTCAAGGATCCTTTTATATGTCTGTAGGGATATTTGGCAATAGCCAAAAGGGGGCTGAACTGGCCGTTGAGAGGAAATACGTGTTCATATTGGGAGTCACCTGCCGGGGCTGGAGCAGGGAGCTTGGGTGGAGAAGGGAGTTCAGGAGACGCAATCTGAGTGGGTTGAGTTGTGTTCTGGGTAGTTATAGCTGAAGGCTTGTTTCCCAGGTTCTCGGTATGCTCTGTCTGAGGGCCACCAGTGTCATCAACGGGCCGAGATTCGGTTGCCTGACGGCGGCCAGTGTCCATCTTCAAGAGGTCTTCATCCCGCGCAAAAAGCAGCCTAAGGCGTTCTTCGGGACCCATTAAGGTTAATCTGAGATACTATAATCGAGTATTACTTTGGATTGTTAGTAGGTTGTTGGTGAGGGAAGTGAGTAGCAAGCGAGGAAGAAAGAGGGAAGAGGTATTTAAGAACAGTGCGTTGGCAAACGCGTGCAAACGGTAGTCTCCGCCATGAAGCATGCAGCCCAGATTGGCAAGCATGAAGAATTCATCTATGATTCCGCTTCACCACATCAATAATAAAATTGAATTGGCAATTCCCGTGAATGAACCTCTCCAGTGTCCTATATAGAGCATTCATTCGACATAGTAGTTGGCGTCTAATGCGAAACTAAATGAAGGTCGTTTACCGAGATCAGCTTCCTGGCCGTTTCAGCGTTCGGAGATGGGACAGTCAATGAGACCATCCCAATGGTGTTTGTAGTATCGAAATCGTCTAGTGAATGACAAATATTTTAGATTGGCACAGTATTGTTTCGGAGCGTTAGCCTCATTGCTTTGTTCGGATCCAATTGCAGGCCCACGCGCCCTTCACTCAGAAGCTGCACAACCAGGTTATCAAGGCCTATTTATGGGCCACTCATAGCTGTGACAATTACTTAGTTATTGTGTTGATAAAGATACTCTTGACTGATTCACTGCTCTACTTCTTAGTCTATTAAACCAGAGCTGCTAAAGCGGCCGATAATAGCAGTACATGACGTTGTTGTCTGAGAACACATACAAGTTTCGCGCCCATAGTCGAGCAGGATAGAATTCTTTATAATAATTAGTTAAGTTATCATATAAATAATAGATTAATCAAGGGAGAGTCTAGAGTGTCGAGTACTGTTCGGGTGGCTTGGAAGCTCCTGGAACACGAAAGACCGCTGAGCGACTTGATTCTTCCGGGCAAACACCGACTTGAGACCATGTTCAAAGTTCAGTATGCAATATACCGTGCATACAATGATAAGGCAGGAAAGGACAAATGCTACACTGGCAAAGAGCAGCATCATGTCCTTCCCTGGTGTGTTGCCACGCAAAGTATTTCCACATAGAACGATGATCCGACTCAGTAAATAGGCCGCAATGCCTAGACGGCAGACCTGCTCGAGTTAGTTATTTGGACATCATAATTTGAGGTTCCATGACTAACTGCAATAATGATGGTAGAAATTCTGTGTTCACGTCGGACAAAATATGTGCCCACAGTCATCACCAGCAATGCGGCTGGAATGAGTGCTAATGTCAAGGAGTACTCGGGCTCCTCAAAGTGGACGTCAACGAGGTCATACTGAATGATAAAGCCCACCAGGAAGAAGAAGTCGAACTTGATTAGAACAAGATATGCCTGCCGGAGTTAATCACAAGTCCCCAATGACCCAAGTTCTGGAGGACTTCAAGTACCTCATATCCTCGATATTGTTTACGACTCTTAGGGCTCCCCTGAACATACTGGTATATAGCCCAGGAAAATTCTCTATGGACCCAATACGCGATCGGCCACATAAAGAGCGTCGCAATACTGACGGTGATGGGAACCAGAAGCTCAGCAGGCTGGATTTCTTTCCACAGGTCTCTTGATAAGTCCACCAATGGTCGGCCGAGATAGTCGCGGTTCTCTCCAATAGTCAAGGTGGTATGATGAATAGACATGTACTGCATCACAGAATAGGCGAGGACACAGCCATTGCTAATGCAAAGGGCTAGAAGCAATATAATATTCTTATGATGTACCATGTCAAGGCCAAGAAATATCTCATAAACGACAGCAAACATGATGAGTGCAATGTTGATGGGGACCTGGTATGATATGGCGACCTGAGTGGCATTGGGATTCGTCCATGATTGCCACTGAATGAGGTTATATCTGGGATGTAGTAAGTAGTTGCGGACGATGTGGTTATAGCATTGTTTGAACTCACATGTTCAACACGAGAACAAGCAGTCCTTGCACGAACAGTGTTCCGCAGAACCATTTTTCGTTTTGCGAAGTTGGCCAGTACATGGCACCACCCTGGGATTATTCGCAGCACCCCTGTGCCGGCTTAGGTATGTACCCCTATATACTCTAAATAATGCTGTATTGGAAGGTTGATGTCGACAGTTTACAGCTTCTTAAGAAGATGCGGCGATCGAACATTTAGCAACCAGGGCTGTTGCGCTAGGGTGGCTTCAATCCACAAACTATTGTCGAAATTTGCAATAGATAGTCAATCCGTTCACCTACAATTGGTGGACCCTTGTTCCATCTCCCGAGGTTCAGGTAGCCATTCCAGGTGTCTTACTTTTTGCCCAATCAAGATTCTAGAGGTACCCACAAAGTAGAGCAGTCCGTTAAGGCTGGATACACATAAGTCGGTACATTGGGCCGACTAGTAGCCGAAGAAACGGCGACTGTAAACTCTCTCCCCATCGAGTTCCACATTTGACCCCCCGTTACTTGTGTTTGCATGATCAGCCTGTATGTTCACGCTCGCGCCCATATGATTCCGAAATCCTTCGCGTAGATAGGTCTATATGTTACAATGTCTTCGGCCTTCTGACCATGAAAACTAGTATAATAAGCTGCGCCATAAAGCATAGATATTCGGTACCGAGTAGGGGATCTAGGGTCTTTTTGACTTTGGTATGTGGGGCCTGGTGTTGCCTAGGCTGAGACCGCCCATCCAATTGGCGAGATGGATTGAAGTCAATCACGAATCCACCGTTAAGGGTGCTTTATTTCGCCGCGGGTCCAGCCGCCCGGCATCACCACTGGCAAGGATGGCTGCGCATATTAGATGTGGCCGAAGCTTGATTTTCGAATTGAAGACCTCTAGCAAGGAAAGCCCGTGTAAGGGAAATAGAATATGCGCACACGGTGTATCTGTTCAATGGTGACACCACTTTCTGTCCAACCATCTCAACAAATTTCCGCTGTACTTTTGTTAGTTGATATGACACAGAAGCTGTATACCGAACCCCCTCCCTAGGTCGACCCACCATCTGGAGAGAAACTCCAGTGAGGTTGAAGCATTCTCAATCTGATATACTCGTATTCAACGAAATAGGTGAACCAGAAGGTCGCTCAAACTTTTGAAATTATATCTTCAATTCGAAGACTGTAATGCCCACATTAATATGTGAATGTATACCTCGGGTGGTATGTAACTCGCGCTTTTACCGACTAACGTTATACCACTCTCTTAAAACTGTAACTCAACGTAGCTTGCTCTAAGCCCCATATTCGTAGGATCAAGTAGGATTAAGCGGGGTGACTATCTATAATGTCCTATATTCATTGCACCTCTGTGCATGATACCTGTATGCGACATAAGATTGGTAGTAAATTTTGTCAACAACTGAGTATACTCTGCTGATACTATACAAATGAAGGATATGCCCTGCTAATTACCTGGTGAATATTGCTGACTGAAGTAAGCTAAGTCAGAAATAAATCCTTGATACATTAACTAATAGTAACTGGTGCAGACATGGAACCAAGTCTTAAACTGCGCAGCAAGGAGGAGAGCATAGTGCGCGGTCATAGTTTGTGGTTCATAGCAGACATAACAATCTATTATCATTCCACTAGTGTGAACATTTGTTGAAAGTTGCCGGGCAATGCCATCAGTGTACTCCATATATCGTACTGGAGAGATTGTGGTTTTTCCGGGCATGAGACGGCAATATAACCTTGCTTGTGCCTGTGCCTGACCTGTCAACCTCGGATCAATTATGTTCCGGAACGCGACCCGCGGTGGTTCCAGCCGGAGGGAAACGAAGGCCCGGAACTGGCCAACATCTTCCAAGTGATCTCAGTTGCTCCTCCACTTCTGTCCCCGTCATTGGCATACTTCGATTGCTTCTCATTCTCCCTTACCTCCGTCACTTTGTCCTCTCATTGAACTTT